GTAACATAAAAAGGAAGGACCTGGAGGAACAGCTCAGTATCAGGCTGCTCCTCGCCCTGATGAAGTGGACTGCAAGGCCCACGAAACGTTGGCACATCAAGAATGGACCAAGACATGGAGAAAACCCGCGAAGCACAGATTAGTTATATAGAAAGCACCCATGGAAGCATCAAGAAGAATATCTAGAATATTTTACATTACTTCCATATTTATTAGTTTTTTAATTTTGTCATTATTTTTTTATTATTTACTGACACTCAACTATTATAAAAAAAACATTAATAATGTAAAAAAGCAAATATCTAATAATTTGAAAAAATATGATAACTAAATTAATCGAACTGCATAATTACGGTTATGAAAAATCAAAAAGGTTTCACATATATTTTGTCATTTATTCATAAAGCGGCTAATTTTCAGTCTTTAACAATTTAGCATTAAAGGCATTTTAATATTTTCTTTAACAAAATAATAATATTAAGAAACTAATTGCTGCAAATTTATTTAAAAATTTTAAAAATTAAATTAATTCTGCTATAAATAAAATTACTATTAATTAATATAAAATAGTTAATCTATTTATGTGTAGAATGCTATTTTTATATACATCTAGAAGTACATTGATTTTTCAACGTAATTTAAAAGATATTTTACAACTTTCAATGTCAATGTTTCTTGGTATATTTTTACAATGTTGTCACATTAATTTTAATAATACAAGCAGATAATTGGAGATTGTACATGACTTAATCAAAAAATACTTTAATAATAATTTTTAAATAATTGCATGAAATAAACACTATGATCTCAAATATATATAAAAAAATTTCTCTAATTTTCAAAATACTACATTTCTCACATACAATATACATTATCTCCCCTCCTTTACACACAGGAACACACAAACACACACACACACACACACACACACACGCGCGCGCGCATACATACGCATATTGTACATTTTTCATTATAACATAAGCATAATGCTATTACTTACAAATACTGTCAAAACAATAATGTTAATTTATTATTCAAAATAAAATGTTCAAATTACTATATAAATATATTACTGCTCGATAATAATCTTTCTTTTCATTTTTCTTTTATTAATTTCATATAAAGATATCTTTAAAGAGGTATTGAAAACAAGAAAATATCTAAATAAAAAAATAGATTAAATCAAAGAAAGTAAACAAGCCTATTTGAGCCAGCAACAGGATGTATATTTTTCGTTTATTTAATAAAAATAAGACTTTTCGGTAAGATCCTTGATTTGGATTCTCTTCAGTAACAATGATATAACTATTAATAAATAACAAACAATATTAAACCTATATATGACTTAATTGTATATCGATCGTAAATTATTGCCAGATTGCGTGTGGTACATCTATCAGTAATTCTTAAGCATTAAATTGCCCGATCTGCTAAGTAAATCAATGAATTGTTAGTCATTGAATATATTCTAAGTTAATACTGGGTGAACATACGTTATACAGCTTATATAGAATCACTGTGATGAGTAGACCAATGGCTGTATGACTAGTAATATTCATTAAATTGTCAAATTTACTGTATAATATAAATTAAAATAAATTAGACAAGTTACATTAATAAAATTTTGAAAACTTACATGAAATCAAAAGAATATTCAAATTCACTCTTTATGGTTTGCTCATCAGACACTAAGAGAAAAATTATCTCGAATGTCGAAAATATATACAAAAACAAACAAGAAGGAAACATTATATCATTGTAAATTTATTCTCATAAAGAGGATCTAGAGATAATGTGTTATTCTGTAGATTTAAACCATGTTTTTGTTTTTTAATATGGATCATCTCTGAAATTAATCTTTTGTTAAGAATCTTCTCTTCATCTAAACTTCATCTAACTTTTTGTTATTCTAATCAAAATTATGTGATGCTTCGATTCTATATTCTGTGATCAATGTTGAGTTGTGTACCAGTTAATGTGATTTCTGTGCTCAATGATACGATTTTAGACATCTCGTCTGTCCTACATTATGTTACATTATAATCTTTGCAATCTCATAGACAACGTTGGAATGTGATCAATTAGAGAATCTTTTTAAATCTTAATAAATTTGCTCAATCCATTGATGTCATTATAAGCCATTCTTATGTAGGAATTAGTATTGAAAAAATTCTGAATTTTTCTTTGCATAATAGAAATAAAAGATACGTTAAAAAAATCTTTTGTTCATATTTTTTACAATCTTACCCTCAATGTATTTTATGTGGTTCAATTGTTCGAGTTTGTTATGTAATCTTTCTGTAATAGTAGAAAATATCAAATTTAATAGGTAACCATTGTTTAAAAGAATTTTTATGAACCAAATTCAAATTTTTTTGGTGGAAGTTAGGATGAGAGAGGAAAAGAATTGTCTATTAAATTTATCATTGTTTCTACTTTTTAGCAGAGAGCGTAGCCACAAGTAAAAATTTAAAAATCTACTTAAGAATGTAAATTTTGCGATATAAATCACGAATAAAGATATTATCTTTTGTACTCAAGCAGACGTCCAAAAAATTCAATCTAGAGTCATCTTTTACTTCTACAGTGGATTTAAGTCTAGAGTAATAAGAATTAAGACTGTCTAAGAATTCATTTATACAGATATTGTCAAGGGAAAAGCAATATCGTTTACGTATCTTACATAAAAAATGGAGCAACGGAAAGTTTAATGCACACAATTTCAATCTTGCATCACAATGTCAACCACTACAGAGGATAATGAACCCATAGGTACTCCATATGTCTATTTATAAAACTTATTGTTAAAACAAAATATATAGAATTTAGAACTAAGTTAACTGCCTTTAAAAAATTTCATCTTTGTAATGTCAGTATTCCGCTCAATAAGCTCAATAATTATTTTGATAAACTTTCTAAAACTAGATCAATTAGTGTATTAGTGAAAAGTGACACCATATCTAGAGATGAAGGCATTCTTTAAATTGTGATATTAGAAATATTTTAATTTCATCTGGAAGTTGTTATCGTTGAAATCAGCCGACGGTAAACTATTTTGAATTATTTTATACAATATAGATATAGATAGTTAAATTGTTAAGGGGATTCCCAATGGATGAAATAATGACACAAAGCAGATATTCAGCTTTGTGTATTTTAGGTATATCGTAAACATGAGGTAGCATAGTAACACTTTAAGTATTTATAGCAAGAATCCGGTACAAGTTCCACAATGCTCCCAACTTTTCAGAAATGCCTTTAATTCAGTGAGTGCCTTGTTTACGGGATTACATTTCAAATTCGTATACGTCTCAGGAACAATGCCTCCATTTTCTGTATGAAACCTGTTCTGTCAAGGATCACTATTATGTTGCCTTTATCGACATGTGTGAACAAAATCTGTGGATTATTTTTAACAAATGTCTTTGTTTTGAAGGGAAGAGAATTATCCTGTTTACATTTATTATATCTTTATGTATGATTTTGGTTTGATTAATGGAAAAACTTTATTTCTCATTTCTTTTGTATTAAAAAACTTTAGTCTCATAAAATTATGTTCTATATGTTTAATGAAATCTCAATATTAAACGTTATATTCCGATATTAAAATCTTCATTTGCAACAAAGATTGTACATCGGCTTAGATAGGCTTGTTTATTTTCTTTAATCATTAAAACCTGAATTTAAAGTTTTTTTTAAAATAAAATAGATTAAATATTTTTATAATCAATACGTCAAGTATAATGTGCATTAATTGTTTGAGATGACAAAATGATGAAAAATAAATGTTGGAAAAAAAAATAAAAGATAAATCTTATATCTGTCTTTCAATATATTGGGGAAAAAGTTTCTTCGTTTTTTAAAATTCAAAATTGTATATACAATATCTTTGTCAAAAATGAATGGAATTAAAAAAAAAAAAGATTTTAAAGCTTTAAATCTCTTTACTTTCGAAAGGTTAGACTGTTAGAAATGTAATCACGAGCTTCATTTACATGTAAAGGAAGCTCGTGGTTATGAACAAAATTAAAAATAATGATTCAATTGAAAATTAAGCAATTACTTAAATGTAATGAACGTGTACATTAAATTTATGAAATTTAATGTACTTTTAATAAAATTTTATGAAAAGTACATTAACTTTCATAAATTTTCGTGAAAAATACAATTTTATGTATATACAAAAATAAATTTTATGTATATGTACATAAATATATTTTTTAGTTATAAATACATTAAATTTAATGTAATGTCAATGTGAAATTAAATTCAAATTGTGTAACTTAAAATTTAATGAAATTTAAGAACATTTCTAACAGTGTACTATATTTTTTGAGTTTTTGTGAGTGGTAATTTTTACATATAAAAAACTACGAACTGAAAAAGATCAAAAATTTTCTTTTCACTTTGGGGATCTTTCACGTGTCAAAAAAAATTTACGAAATTTTTTGACTACCTATCGTGAAAGCTTGAAGCTTTCCTTACAAAATCATTTTTTAAAAATGTATCTATATATAATATTTTTTGTTCTTGAGTTATTTACGAGTTAAGTAAAGGAGCATTCTGACTGATTGCTCATAACTCCGATAAAAATCATCATATCGTAATTAAAAAAAACAGAAACTTCTTAAAGCTGAAACTTTGTACTAGCGAATGGTATAATTGTAACGAAAATTTCGCAATAAATGAAAAACTTTTGCATAAAAATACGAAGAAACTTTCTTTCTAACCAATATTATTAAATTTCAATCAATTTTTGTTCATTATTGTTATTAATTATTATTTATTATTATTAATTTAAAAAAACCAAAACAATTGATGATGTGAATACACATTTATATCACATGAAAAAAACATGAAAATAAATTGGAAAGGCTTATTGATTCGGCAATTTAAATCAGATCTAAGAATCACGATATATCTTTACATTTTCCATATTGATAATCCCATCAAGACATATTCTAAGTCACCTTATTTATTTTTCCATTAGACGCGTATCATTGGATATCATAAAGCAAACATCACTCAAACTGAGAATAAAAAAATTTCTTTCGTGTTGACTCACAAAAGCTACACTCACAATGTGCACCACATATCACAAATAGTTGGTCTGAGTCCATTTGCTGTGATTTCCACAGATCAATTATTCAAACTGTGTAAATACTAGTTGATTTCATCCAAA